CCAGCCATTTGGAAACCCGCCCTCATGAACAGACGAGTACCTAACATGAAGAAGGACACCAGACCCACACCCATGAGAGCCACACAAGATGCCACCACCACACTTCCATGTAGAAAACAGACTCTCACCCACTCAGAAGATGAGACACGACCATGGACCAGAAGCTGCACTACAGCTGCATCACTACCCACTTCAAACCCCTCCGAGCCATACATGAAGCAAACCGACACCCACTATGAAGATGCAACAGGACCACGAACTAGAAGCCAAACAGCAAGATCACAACTCACCAGCTCAAATCCCCCAGCAACTAAGACTAACCGGAGCACAGCCAAGCCCCCACCTGAACAGAACACGCCTCCAACCAATCAGAACACAGCCAAGCCCCCACCCAATCAAGTCCCACCCCCACTGGCAGTTAAAAGGAGGAAGCAGCTGCAATCTCACATTACTCTGAAAAGCACAGAGCCGGAGACAGAAGCCTGAAGATGATGAATGAGACTTCATCGAAACGTTGCCTAGATACTTCGAATCTTACGCGGGAGAAAACCCGAACAACCAAAGATCCACATATAAATACCCGCGAGAACCTCAGAAAACATATATATATATATATATATATATATAAAGCTGGGTTATATAATGAAACTAATGAAAATTACTTTTATTTATGATAGAAATAAAAAGCACACCAAGAAATCCTTCTTAATTAATTAAGACTTTTCTTTTGTATAACTTTTTGTTTTGTCCAGTCTTGATTTCTTTGAAGTGAAGATGGGCTAGTGCTTGGAAAAGATCAAGGGTTGAAAGAAGTATTCGTGATCATGAAACTAAAATGAAGTCCCTGTTTGAAATTTCACTTAAATCATAAACTGATTTGCTGACCTTTCCAACCCATCTCCAGGCACCATATTAATCCTCTTTACAGCGTTGTTACAGAAGACACTTAAAGGAAGCATCATCAAAATACTGTTACTGCTGTTGCTTGGCATTGATATGACAGTGTCTCAGTGTGGAGGAGAGTCACTTTTTTGCATTTTGCAGGCCCTTATTTTTTAATAATGCATTATCTCTCCAGCCGTTACTCCTTCGATGTATATAATTCCATTTTGTTTTCCAAGTTTTCACATGCTCTTCTACTTCAGTTCCTGATCTCTTTCCTCTCTGAAAGCTTGGCCTGTTTCTTTCTATTTAAAGACACCCTTCCCCTCTTTGAACAAATTCCTTTCATATCTCTTCAAGAGCCTCCAAGATCTGCTTCTCTACCAAGCCTCTTTTGACATAGAAGAATATTGTCGTACTTGCGCTTGACTATCCATCCTTCCTTCTCATCTGTCTAAATTAATTTCCAGGCTTTCCATCTCCTTTCCCTTTCCTCAAAGGCTAAGTCATGTTTGTTGTATCCTCCTTGGCAGTGATAGAACATGGCCTCTTAGCAGGACATATAACAGTCCTATTTCAGGGTTATATAATCCAATCTTGAAAGCTTAGTTTAGTCTATAAATAGATAGCTTGTGGCCTGCAGATGCTCTTCCCAGCAACTCCCAAGTAGCATTGATAATGGTGAGATACATTGGGAATTGTAATTCAACAATATCTGGATGGTTTCTGATTGTTACCAAGTGCAACAATGGAAAGAAGACATTTAATATCCTGTGTGTCATTCAAAAAGTGCTCTTACTACAATGCCAATTGCCCAGATGTCTATATGCCTTCATGCAGTGTGTAACTACACTTGACTATATTTTGTCAACTGGTTTATGATATATGAAAAATAAAAATGATATTTTGAACTATAAATGGAAATTTTACCACATTTCTGTTTAATTTACCACTGTCCATAATGCCATTATGCATTTAACCGGGTTGGCTCTTTCCCTAGTCAAATCTTACCTGTTCTAGTAACAAACTTTTGGGAGTATGGAATATACAATTTGTCAAACTAATGTTAGTTTCTCATAAGCCCTTGCACCAGGAAAGTATTGGCAACATTTCAGGATATGACTAATCCTCCTTTATCTGGTGTATGGTAAACTGGGCGGAGAGTTTTCTTTTCAGAGCTGTATACGTACCTTCTAGAACAATCATTAACATCCAATCCTCTACATTGATTTTTTTTTTCACACATTCTCGTAATAAAACACAAACACGCACTCCTTTTTTTTTTTATTTCCCCACAATATTAATAGGTTTGAATCAATCCATAATTTGAAATTTGTCATAAGCGTAGCCAAGGTAAACAATATGAAGTACAGCTGATAAATGAGGATGGACGGACAGATAACGATGGGTCTGTTTTGGATGTATAATATAAGGGAGGTTTAGAGTGAGAGGATAGTTGGTGGGAGAAGCTCAAGGAGCACTATGTAAAGATGTGAACATGAGCATGACAACTCTTGGACTCTCACCGCCACCATTGATTAGATGTTTTTTGACTGGCATATATCTACACTGACCACTTCTGTTTAGATGCTGTGTATATTATCCTAGGATTTGAAACCCTTTCCTTGACATGGGTTGTTTATTATGTAATCACTCACTTTTGCACAATCTCTCTCTCCCTCTTCTCCCACTCAGATTGGGTTGCTTTGAAAAAGAAATCTGTTTTGGATGTAATCCAGTTTCGTAACCTAGCAATGCTGGTCCTCCAGTAACCATTGCTTTCCAGCATACAAATGAAACAGGAAAGTCAGCCATCCTGGTCTCTAATCTAACTTCCCCTATTTTTCCTTTTCTTTGAGCTCAGGGAGATCCTTCCATTATACTTGAGTCCTACTTGCAATTGTATTTGAAGCCATGGCAACAACCGAGGCTAACTTTTCCAGCACTGATTATTTCACTCCATCCTCCCTTGGCCCCTGTTCATTCTCTCCCTTGCAGATATTATCCTTTAGCTAATTGCTTATGAAGGATGCTTTCCCTTCAACTAATGCTCATTAGTTTTGCGTTCTATGACGACTCTTCCTTGAGACAGGTCTTAGGACACAAAGAAGACAGAGAGGGAAATGCTTACTGTTCTCTAACACCTTTTCTACTCTGGGTATTTGGGGAATCTTGGTTCCAGGCAAGTTCCCAAGAGGTGCCCTAATGGTGTAACCTCTATTGCTAGGGCATAGGGCTCAAGAGTCCTGGAAAGTGCCAGATTCACAGCCTACGCCATGAGATGCACAAGAGTTGTAGAAGATGGCAGGAAGCTGGTAGTATAGGATGTGACAGAATTGCATAGATCACAAGCGATCCCCCCCAAGCTCCAGGCAATCACTGGAGAGGGGGCTTTTTTTTTCTTCTGGAAGGATGGTTACCTTGGATTAGAATCCACTTCCACTTCCCTCCATATCTTCCACAAAAATAGAATGCTTCTGCAGATTCCTTCTTAGACGCTGAAGTAAAAGGTTGCCTCTGCAAGGGCTCACGCGATCTTTTCTTTCTTTGCCTGCCTTGTTGATGTCTATCTCTTTTAGGCTGTTGCTCTCTTTGAGGTGAGAATAAGAGGTGGAGAAGGCTGTGTCAGAGCCATCCAGCATCAGGCACTGGCAAGGGTCAGTGCTTACGATGAAAGCATCATCCCAGATGTTCTCACACAGCTCCTTGCCATCCTTATACATCTAAGGGAAAAAAAGAGGCTCGTGTTACCAAAAAAAAAAAAAAAAAGTCTTCCTTGGGAGGTACTCCTCAAACTCCTTTCCAACCTGCTTTCAGGTTGGAAAGCAACTGGAATAGAAGCTTAGAAAGTTAGGAATATAAAAAGTATTGCAATCTTCCCCCCAAAGGGCATGATGCAAAGAACCTGAGCAGTCTAACAGGATTTGATTTCTAAAAATTAGAACCATTGCTATTTAACTTTTTCAGGAAGTCATGTACCTGTCCCTAATGGTGATTGTTCTATTCCTTGTGTAGAATATAACTCATATTTCTATGTGGGAATACTATGATAGGCTTCATAATATTAAAGACACTTCATTTATTAATGTTGCCCAGATACTTTTATGGTAAAAAAAGGGTTAAAAGTGGCAAATGAATCCATAAAATGGCCATCAGCTACCACCACTTTCTAACAAAAGTATATTTCCTATCAGCTTCAAGACAAGCCACCATCATCCTTTGCCTGCACTTCAGTTTCAGTATACAAGTGACATGTTACTGAAAGAGACAATCCAATCATTTTTAGTGAGAGGTTAGTAGAAAATAATGGACAATTCTTGCTTCTTTCAATCACTATATTTCATGGTAAATAACCCTTGTCTATCAGTAACCATTCCAGTCCTGTGTGTATGTTTATAACCAAAGATCAAACTGTTGCTTTCTAAGTTCCACAATATTTCAAGAAAACAAACACAATTGTGGCAAGGAGTTAGCAATGATAAGGGAGTTGTTACTGCTACAAAAACTTTAACTTTCAGATATTTTTCATTTGAATTGGCCAGTTGCAGATTTTTTCAGTCACAAACACCATTAGTATTCATAGAAAGCTAATTTTATATAAACTAACTGTATGTAATGAGTTCATGAAGACCATTGGGAAATGGCAGGATATAGGAAACAAAAAAAACTACAAGGAAGAAAACATTTATCTATAAACATTTGGCTATATATGGCATTTTTTTCTTTCCATTTCCTATTCCTATCCCTACCCTCTGACAATACTTTTCTTTGATTTTTTTTCTTGAGTGTTAGAAATCATTCAGATTTGAGGAAAAGCAAGGCTTGCTATAAAAGTCACATGGGTTAAACTCAAATTGTTCTGGGAATGTGTTATTAACACTGAAAACTGGATTGTTTTTTAGTGTAATTGGTGCCTTTCAGGAAAATGCAGTTCCTGTTTTTCTCTCCACTTTCCAGTTACTCTTCTCAAACATGCTTCAGTTTCGGAAGCCACAGCCTACGCATCATTTTCAGGCCCTGTACAAACATATGCCATATGTTCCCTCACATAAACATACTATGATCTCATCCAATGCATACAAATTTTAAAAAACATTGGTCTGAATTCTGAAATTAGGTTTTTTTGTATTTCTGAAACTCCTGTACTCCATATGTGAAGATATCTGTACTTTTAACCCACTCCCGTCTGAAGGGGCAAACTGTTCAGCTGAAAGAGATTAATCACCCGAAGTGGCTTTAATTAGATTGTATGTATATGTGTATGTTTGTCTGTTTGTTCTGGTCCAATTTGTCTTTTGCCTTGGTTTTGCCTACTTTTGGGAATGTTGTCTCCAACAAAGTGGCCCTTGGCACAGACACCTTTATGCTGTAGCAAGAAACAGAAGGACGGTTCTGCGTGTGGCTAAGTAGCACCTTTAGTGTCCTCACCTGGCCAAAGGAATGGCATTCCTGACTACAGTTATGTCCATCAGCTCCCCAGGGCCAGTTGCCAGGGCAGGTCAGATCCTCTCTGCAAGCATCGTACCTGAGTGGACAATAAGTTTGAGTGATATGAAAGACAGCTCATTGGCATTTGACTCAATACCAACAGACCCAAATTCACTCAGTGAGACTTATGAGAGGAATTTGAATTTGAAACTCCCCAGAGTAAGCCCCTACCCTTTTCAATTTAGGGGAGAACCTCAGATTTTTATATTCAACCAAAAAAAGCTGACATTCTTTCACTTGCTGGGTTAATTTTTACACTAGTTGCTAGTAGCTTCTCTGCCCTTCTCTGAACACCCTACCCCACAAATTTATTCATTTTTAAAATAATATACTTTATCACATTGGCTAACAAAATAATAAAAGTAAAAGGATGGGAATGTTCTCCAAGCAACATTCGTATTCCCTTGCTACCCAAGTCAAATTTCTAAACCTAAATCCTTCCTTTTGCCTGATGTTAATTTTCCTGAATGGAATCACTTAATCTTGTCAGGAAATTTTTTTTTTAATTTTAAAAATATTATTCCCCTAATAGCAAGGTCGAACCAATAGAGAATAGGACACTAGTTTTCTCAAATTTTCAGTAATTTAAAATGACTACATCAGATTAGTATATGTTTGCTTTGTAGATGGTAGCAAAGGCCTATGCTGCCATCTAGTGCTTATCCAGATTTTTGCACCCCAATCATGGTCATCCTAAATAGGTAAAGGTAAAGTTTCCCCTTGCACACACATGCTAATCGTTTCCAGCTCTAGGAGGCAGTGCTCATCTCCATTACAAAGTTGAAGAGCCAGCACTATCTGAAGACGTCTCCATGGTCATGTGGCCAGCCTGACTAAATGCCAAAGGTGCACGGAACGCTGTTACCTTCCCACCAAGGTGGTCCCTATTTTTCTACTTGCATTTTTACATGCTTTTGAACTGTTAGGTTGGCGGAAGCTGGGACAAGTAACGGGAACTCACTCCGTTACGGGGTGCTAGGGATTTGAACCACCGAACTGCCTAATTAAATCCCAATAACACTTCTATAAATAATGGCCTTAAAGATATGTGTCTCTTCAGAAATATGGGCTCTTCTTTTCAGATAACAGGTAAAGGGTCATGGTTCTATTTAGCCCAATGTACATATGTATGCTTTCAGTCACGACAACAGAGCTATTTGTTAAGTTTCTCTTGTGTCTTCTACCTTCAACAGGTACTGTACTTCATTATTCCTCCCTAGCAGGTCTTCTTCTAGATGTGAAGACGTGATAACTTACCACTGGTCACAGAAATTCTGGCAGAGAGGTACAGCCATCAGGGCTGTGGGTTTTTCAGGGTGAGGCCATTGAGCAGCAATGGGGGAGCAGTGGTAAAAACAATCCAATTGCTGAAGGTACTCCTCACACCTGCAAAAATGAACGAAACAACAGCAAGCTTAAATATTTGACCCTAAAATGCAGGGGAGAAAAGTAAGGCAGGCATCAGACCCGTCCCCCCGCTTTCTTGGTATTTAGTGATCAGAAAGGCTGGCAGAGGAAAGGTCATGAGACAGGACCCAGCTTCACAAGCCATAGGGGCCCATGGCTGACATAGGTGGGGTCCCCTTCTTTTCAGAAGAGCAGACTTGGGGATGACCTGATGCTGAGGCTTCCACAACGATTCCAAGATCCAGCACCGACTTTGGAAAGTTCCTGGGCAACTTCTGTTGAGCAACAGGCATCTATGGAAATAAATCTTCTGTCATTATCTCTATGTCTTGGGCTTGAGAATAACTATAATATTAGTCTACTGCAAACTACCCCTCCAACAATTGCAGTCCAGACCAAGGAAGATGTATGCCAGATGAACCCAATCAAAATCTGGTTATAGACTCAGCAAGTCAAAAGTTGTGTGTGTGTGTGTGTGTGTGTGTGTATGTGTATGTATATTCTTTTGACTTATCGTGTTTTCAGGATTTTAATTGTAAGGCACCCAGTTACTTTGGTGTGAAGGGCCTTGAAATCACCACCACCACCACCATCATCATCTATATTATGGATATTTTATACCCTCTCATCCTACCATACTCTCATTTTCTCTCTCTGTTACATAATTCTACAAGTTTCTATAGAGAAGCCATACTTACTTTCTGCATAAATCTGGCAGATGCCCAACTCTTCTTTTGCGCTTGGATTGATGTTGTGCTTCCCTCCAGATAAGCAGTGATCTTCTGTATCCTTTGCATTGACCCAAAACATGGTCAGTGCCAAAGCCATCACCATTATCCAATTGGTATTGCCACCACCTCTCATGACTAGAATATCAAGGGAAGAGGAAACGGAAAAAATGAATCTGTGGAGAGGCTTACTTCTCCTCTGTTTTCAAGCATGCTAGCCAGCCAATCAGGTTATAGGAGATGGGTCCCCACGGGCCAGGTATATCTTCCCCCCAGTAATGCCCTGGATACATTGTACTTTCATCTCTGCCCAACAATTCCCTGAATCTTGCTTCTTTCTTGATAAGCTACTAAGATGCTGCAATTGCATTATTCCCAGTGTTCATCTCTAGCTGTGGTCTACTTTCATTGCTAGGTAATTCAAGGCAGCCAACTGTAGGCAATTCTACAGCACCCAGATGATGGCTAGGTGTCATGACAAACACCAGCAGCTCCCTTCTTTAAGAGAAGATATTCTTAAGAAAAATGTGAATGCTTCCCTCTTCATGGAGAAATTAAGAAATGTGCAAGCGAATAGCTCATTTATGTAAACAAGCATGCAACGGGGAAGGACACACTTCCAGGAAAGATTTATACGAACGAGGTGGGCAAAGAAAAAGAGGGTTGTGGTTTTCACCACAGTTCAGCCTGCACGAATTTTCCAGGGATTACCAGGCTGTGGAAAGTGCCAATTGGTTTATGACATGACATAAAAGTCATTGCTGAGGAATGTAACTACATGGGATGTCACAAGCAATGTGTGGAGAGGTGTCCCCGTTATAAATCTGCCCCCTGAACTAGAGGACAATTTGGCCTTGCAATGATATTTTGCTTAAATGAACACCTTCTCGGTTGCATTTGCTATTGGCTATAAACCTCACCTTCAGGGATAGATTAAATATGGAGAGAAAGGACAATTTTTACCAGAAGAACCCAAGGAAGGTTTGATCCATCTGAGGAATAGAATATTAATATGGGAGTGTTGAAAACTTGGCCACTTGAGACTACGCCTGACATCTCTTTCATTTTTATTTTCCTTGCTTCTTTGGGTTGAAAAATGTTCATTCAGATGCTTAATAATCATTCTTCTTTCCCCTCGTGGAATGGGGGAAAAAAAACCCATCGAAATGAAACACAGATGAAAGGGAGGTAGTTATGGTCAGTCAGAAAGCCTGAAGCTGATGGCGTGATGAAAAAAACAGCTTTGGGACCTGAAGCTGATGGCGTGTCAGTGCAGAGGTGTATCAGCACCACTAAGCCAGCCTGTCTGTCTCCTGAAGCTCAGCGTGCATTACCACCTATGGACACACACGTCTTGTGCCTGTCAATTCTGTCTAAGCCTCATCTGTGGAAAGATGTGGGCTTTAATTAATGTTTGCAAAGTGTTCTGATAAGCCTGAAGATAGCATTGCAGTAGAATTGTGCGGCGGGGGGGTGGGGTGGGGGAAGGACGATGATAGCACCAGAGACAGAGAAACAGCAGAGACATAAGATGTTTAACAGACAATATAAAGCCCATCACATCTCAACGCCTGCTTCCTGATGCAGCTTGTACACCCTCTTTCAAATTTGGCTGTTTATTTTTGTTTTATTGCATTTATAAAATATTACCAGTACAACAAAAATATAAATGTCAAATTTGATATATTTAAAGGGTAACAGTTACAAATACCCTATGTAATGTGCAATTAGAGAAGAAAAAAAATTCATGGTAATATGTAATTGCAAAGAAAGTCAGTGTAAACTTTGACAAAATATCCAACCATCCATCCATGCTCCACTGTTGTATGCCAAATGTCAACTTAATTTTCCAATGTTGCAACTTAGTTCTTTGACAATCCCTGCCCACTCTAGAAATATTAGTCACATGAGTAATCAAGTTCATAAAGTCCAAAATATTGGGGACCTCGACACTATGCATTTTGCACATACAGAAATCATTTTGTTTCTTAGCATGTTATCTTTCTTCTGTCCCCTGTGAAAGTCCGCATATACTTGCTGCAATTGCGGGGCCTGAAAAGTAATGAGCCTTTGTTAAAAATGATAGAAATAAAACCGAAGTCTCCCCACTTCCAAGTTACAGATTCCAAACATTGTCTACAGAGGATTTTCGTTTTCTACAGAGGGGAACATACATTGGTGAATGAAAACATTTGATCCATACTTCCTGCAACTTTTGTTGTTAGATCCTCGAGGGTAAAATCTCACAACAGCAACTATTTTCAAGGCAAGGTGTCTCTCTACTCCATCCTTTCTTTTGTGATATCAAATTTTGGTGAGGCAGCCCATGAAATATGAGTCTAGATTTCCAGTTCCCTAGAAACAGTGTCACCTTAAGTAATAGGATGCAGAAATTTGACAAGAAATCTTTGTTTCAGAGCAATGGATAATGAATAAAATCAGCTTCCTAATGCCTCCTAGCTAAGATATGGCTAAGACCAAATGATCTGATTCCCTCATATTAAACTATTGCTTTTTAAATCAGCTGATGAATAAACCTAATTGGTTAAGTTTAAGCACTATGCTAAGCCAAAATCAATAAAATTATTTTTGGGCAGATTTTCTTATTAGACTTTGCTATGAGTTCTCAGATACACTTTTTGATTAAAATACAATATATGGGGTTTATCCAGCACTCTAAATAAAAAAATCATGGTTTACAAACTTCAGTTTTATTTACTTTTAAATTTTACATGTTACCTTTAAAACCAAAGGTTTCCCCCACTCCCAAATAATTGGTTATTATGCTAAGAGTAAAATGCTTAATTTTCATCAGCTTAGCTCAAGCAGGATCTACATAACATCTCCTTTAGTATTAAAGAAATTTTAGTGATAGGTACCTGCATCCAATTCAAAGTTCTATGATAGCATTTATGGTACTACTAAAAGTAAAACTTGAATACAGGTAATCCTCAACTTCCTTTAGTGACCATTCAAAGTTACAAAGGTGCTAGAAAAAGAGATTTATGACCATTTTTCACACAACATCGCCTCCCTATAATCATGTGATCAAAATTCCGACACTTGGCAACTGGTTCATATTAATGAATCCCAGAGTCATGTGATCCTCTTTTACAACCTTCTGATGAGCAAAGTCAATGGAGAAACTAATTCACTTAACAACCATGTTCCAAAATTAGCAACTGCAGGGTTCACTTAACAATGGTGACAAGAAAGGTTGTAAAATGCGGCAAAACTCATTTAACAAATGTTTGATTTAGCAACATAAATTTTGGGCTCAACTGTGGTTGTAAGTCGAGAACTACCTGTATATATGTTGTCAGTAGTTTAATTTATCTCATGTTTTGTTAGGGCGCTTGCAATTTTAGTATTAAATACCATGAGAACTGAAAAAGAATATAGATGCAGTGTGTGGAATATTAATGGTGGCACTAAGACCAGAAGAAACCACGTCGCAGGATATGAAACTGGAAAAACACAGCAGCCTGTGGAGATAAATACCTAATTTCAACCAAACCCCAACTGATTAGCTGTCTGGGAAAGGAGAATGAATTGTGTTTCCTGTGGTTTCTCCCAAACTTTCCAGGAGGACAAGATTAATGGGAATGGGAATTGTGTCATGATGTCAGGGATCTTTTCCTCCCAGATGCATCAATAAAGCTTTGACATTCAATGAAATGAAAAATGAAAAAAAAAATGGCACTGCTTTGAAAAACCATGGGCGGGAGAACCATCAGTGCAGAATCATCCTATCTGTATTTATTACTCCAAAGTTTTGGTCACATCTCCGTTTCAGCTGTCATTAATAACCGTGTGCTTCCATGTCAAGCCCTGTCTCATAAATCTTATTTCATAAAATACAAATTACAGGCTGGTTTGATGCTCAGAGGTATTTGTCAGTATTTCCCCCTCTCTGCTGCAAAAGGTGGCAGCGCTTAATTGAACTTGTCTGGGTTCAAGAGCTAAGCAGGGCCAGACCTGGCTAGTACATGGATGGGAGACTACCAGGAAATTTCAGGGTTGTAGATTAAAAGATATCCTGGAGGAAGGCAACAGCAAAGCATTTTTCATGCTGCTGCCAAGAAATGTAATGCACGTCTATAAATCCCCAGGAGTCAAGCTTAACTCAAAGGAGATATTACCTTTAATACAACACACACATATACAGTACGCAGGTCACCATAAAGAAGAATGATAGTTCTTCCTGTCATGCGTGGTCATGTGCATACAAAGGGGAGGGAAGTAATACAATGTGTTATGCACAAATTTCATCTCTTAGTACTTACACAAAAAGGCAGAATTTGGATTATGATGGTATGACATGTTTCCACCTTTGCCTGTTATCAAGGCTAGCTGCAGAAACCTCCGCCTCTTCCTTATTCCTGTTACCCCTCCCACCACCTCTGGAGTGCTTGAAAAGGGGCTAAGCCACAATTCCAATTTCAGATGATAAATTAAACAAAGCATGACTGGTGTCATCTGTACCATCTTAGCTGGCCTGCTTGTGGAAGATCAGTAAGGGTTTGTCAATAACCTATAATGTGGCATCAGATAATGAAAACTGAGCCAGGAACTTTCCAAGTAGCCATGGATTTGGCTATGAATCCAGTTCTTTGGAGTCTACTTCAGCAAGTTTCCTTTGGTTTCTAATTGTTATGGTCTCCCCATTTGATTGTAAGCAATCCCAGTTCCAGACTCTTTCTTGAAATCTCAAAGACCTGGAATAGGAATATTTGTCTAACCTCACTTTACATGCATGCTTCCTTTTTCATCCTATGCAAACATAACTTGCTTTTCCTTATGGTATTTTTCGTGACTCCAGTAGTCCCGTAAACTGGAAAGGTAGGAGACCCACTGTTTGAAAATAAATAATGGCATCCTAGTTTATAAGACTAGTTTTGCTAGCCTGAATGAATTCAAATTTGAAGCGATTGTCATCCTAAGAGTTGGAGGCAACCCCTCCATTGCTTCTGCACCCAATAAGATCCACTTTAGAGCTAAACAGCTAATTTTTTATGGAGGGATATTCTCTATGCCTAGGAGCATGAAGGGGTCATCCATTATTAAACCTTCCTTTCTTGGCTGACATTGAACAGTGACTCTCCCATGGCTTTATTATGAACCATCCTTTTATTCCCTGGCACACAGCCTGGAAAATACTGATGGCCTCAATCCCAACACAGATTAGGGGCAAGTTTCGCTGAGCAACTGTCATTCTTGTGGCCGCAATTTTGGTGATCAGTTCCTCCAGTGGTCACAGTGGAGCACAAGAAGGCAACCCTTAGAAGTAAAAAGTTCTATGAACACATGTCAAGGATATTAGACTTCCTTGCTAATTTTTTGTTTTATGAACAAGTCTGATTTGCAAGACATCTTCAAGAAACCAGCCAGAACATATCAGGTCAGATTAGAATTAACAGGATTCCATCCATATAGCTTTTAAAAGAGCATCTTATTTGGGATTTCATTTGAATCAAAGCTGACCTCCAGAATTTAGTGTGTATATTTGTGCGGGGGCAAGGAGTTGTTTTAAATTAGAGGAAAAGATTTCATAAAGTGCTTTTCCTGATTATGTATCCATAATATTTTAGTAGGCTTATGGACAAAAATCCCGGCATTTAAATTTTCTTATTTTAACAGACAGATACGCAAGTAATCGATAAATATGGGGTTATACTTTTCTCCTTCTCAAGATAAATGCTTATGGTTTCACTCAAATTATAATTCAACCCTACACCATGTGTACATAGCAACTCACTTTTCAAGTTTCAGGAACCCAAAATTTTTTACCAATATATTCCATAGATAACACTGATTTGCACATGGAAAATAACATACACACAAAAATAAACTTTCTTTAGAATCTGTAACTATAAGCATCATTTTCTGAAAAGAAGTCTCATGAAGTTCAAAAGAATTTCTCTCCCAACCACTGGGTATATATGATTGCATTCTTACTAAACTACCATCTATTGATTTAAGAGTCCACAAACATGCAGAATGAATTAAGAATGTGTGCTTACTTTAAAGCCTGCCCTATTCCTTAGAGCAATTTTCACAAAATAACAAGTAACAAGTTCTTTATTCATTTCGTATTTGCCTGCTTTCTTAATCTTAATCCTCTTAATCTAAAATTTATTAGAAATTAACTCAGTAAACTTTGCTTATTTGGGGCTCATGCTGTTCAACACAATAGTTCATTAATAAACTATGTGCCTTTCTCTCCCTATAGGGTGCCCCCCCATCTGTCTGTTTCTCTCTCACACATACAGAGTCACACACACATACTTCTAAAAAATTGAAGCAAACTCTTGTGCTTTTGAGTACAATCTTATTTATCTACATAGAGGTACTATGCATAAACTCCAATTGAATACTCTTTTCTGGTTTGAGTTTACCCTATTGCAGAAGTCTCCATAACCATCATAGAGTTCCATATTTACTTTAGGATGCAGGTTATATTAAAACTGCTGCCAACAAAGACCTGTTTAAAAATTATGATTAATTTCATTTATTCATAAGTTAACTGTTCATAAACTCCATTATGCACAATTTAAAGGGGGAGAGGGAGGGGAGGAGAGGTTATGTTGCACAGCCTGTCTAGTGAAGTGACACTCCCCACACCCCACAAACCCCAGATCGGGAGAGTCCTATCCATCTGGGCTTTCAGGAGATTGTGAAGACCTGTTTTTTTTTCTCCTAGGCATTGGGCAAGAATATAGAGTCAGCCCAATATAGGCATGGTGTGTGTGATAGAGTTTATGGTGCCTGCTGATCGCATTATGACTGTTTTGATATGGTGTCATTTGCTGGAGTTGAACAAATCTCCTTAGAGGTTTATTTATATTGTCTTCGTTGTTTGTTTTTAGCTGCCCAGTGTTCATATACAGGTGGTCATATAAAATGTCTAGTAGCTCAATAAACAAAAGATAAACTTTATGGCCGTTCAGTTGAGGTGGGAGGTTCCAATTTGGAATAGTGGGTGACCCCTCTTGTGGCTCATAAGAGTTTTTGAAAAAGTATCCTATATTTCAGGATATTTTTTTTTTAAAAAAACAGTTTTTCAATAGTCCAATGAATCCCCTGAATTAAATTGCAGCCCAACATTTAATCTTAGATACCTCGGTGCACCGATATCGAATGAATGAATGCATTTGGTATGACACCCATACTTTACAAACCTAGCAGGTTTTCCCTGCGTTATGCCAAGGAGGGGGTCCCTCTTATCCTTGGTTATAATATTGCAATGCCACGATTTTAATTGCATTCGAATGCCAACCCCCACCTCTCCCCCCCCCAGTGCATCCAAAGCTATTTTAAATTAAAATTAGGTCGGTAAGAAAAAAAAATCACACCCCTCCTCATACCGAGGGAAGAAAGACGGAGCAAGAGTTTCTCCTTTGCCCTGAAATCTTTTGAGACTAAACTAAAATGGATACCTGAAGAATCTCTCTCTCTCTGTCTCTTGTCTCTTATTTATTTATTTTGTCAAGCGATTATAACAGGTGTAAGTATAAACATAGTTATGAATATATGAAATGGATACATATAAGAAAAGTAAAAAAAGAAACAATAGGACAGGGACGGCAGGCACGTTGGTGCGCTGATGCACTCTCTCTCTCTCTCTCTCTCTCCCTCCCTCCCTTTCTCTCTCTCTCTCTTTTCCTTCCGAAAAATCGATTCGGCAAATAGCACCCCGGTCTCTCCTCAGTAGTAGCCTTCAGGTGTGAATTGAAGCCGCACTGCAGCCGCACGTTAATTTACAGGCGCCTCTACTTTCAGCAACCCCATCCAGGCTCCGGTGGGCGCGGAGGGGGGTGGGGGTGCCTGCAGAGAATCGAGAGTTAACTTTTCAGCAACACCCCCCCCTGCCTCCAATCCCGCGATCCAAACCGAGCTGGCTTCTCCGCATCCCGAGTAGCTTCCCCCCCTCACCCCGCGCTCCGCATCCACTTCTACCGGCTTTCGCTTTCTTGCGCCCCCTTCCTGGGCCATCTGTGGGGTTACGTTGCATGCGGGGGGAGGAGGACGCGGGGGCGACGATCGCCTCCCTGTTCTCGGAGCCCCCCTCTCGACTCCGGACGGGCTTCGCAGTTGTGATCCGGCAGGGCAACCCCGTTCCGCGGGACGCCTTTACCTGGAAGCCGCGCGAGCCGCCTGCCCGCTCCGAATGCCGTCGCCTCGTTTCCCTGGGCGAGAGCTTCGCCCCAAAGAGCCCCCGATCCCCCGGTTCGGATCCGGAGGAGCTGCGCCGCCGCCGCCGCCGCTGCTCTTCTTCACCGCGCTCTGCTTTGAAGCAAAGGAGCCGAACTGCCGCCACCGCAGCTGCGGCAATATACCAACCCTCTCCCCCCCCCCCCCCCCCCCCCCACCTCCGCCCCCCTGGCTCTCACTCGCCTGTCCCAATCGCCGCCAGACGGCCGCCCGTCAGCTCTCGGGCAGGTTCCCCAAGGCGGCGCCTGGTTGGGTAAAGGAGAAAAGACTTTCTCCGCCGAGGACTTTCGAGGCAGGGGGTCTGGCCCGGGGTCCACGCGCTGTTCCCAAAGCAAGTCTCTATCCTCAGCAGGAGGAGGAGGAGGAATGACTTTTGCCATTCAGATGAACAGCCACCGGTAGATGAAGTTATCTAATGTTTCAAAAAGTAGTAATTGGGTTTAACCATCCCTGGGACTTCTTGTGGCAATGCGTTCCGAAAGACCTCACAAATCGCTCGCCTGGATCTACTGCCTCACTTGAAGTAATCGGGAAAGAAGAAAGTTATTTTATTGCATAAGCAGGTTGCATTTGATCTCTGTTTAAGATGTTTCTTTCTGCTACTAAAATGGGAGGATCAACAGAATTAACTGCATGAAATTAACTTATACAATCTATCTATCTATCTATCTATCTATCTATCTATCTATCTATCTATCTATCTATCTATCTATCTT